TCGGCTCGACCGGGGAAGGACCACGCTCTCACAGAATCATCATCATCATCATTACAGCCCTTCACAAGTCCACTGCTGAACATAGGCCTCCCCCAAAGAATGCCACAAAACACGGTCCTGAGCCACCTGCATCCATCGACTTCCTGCATGTCTTACCAGGTCGTCACTCCATCTCGTGGGGGGACGCCCTACACTTCGCCTACCGGTACGAGGCTGCCACTCGAGAACCTTTCTTCCCCATCGGTTGTCGGTTCTTCGAGCTATATGGCCGGCCCACTGCCACTTCAGCTTACTAATCCGTTGGGCTATGTCGGTCACTCTGGTTCTACTGCGGATATCCTCATTCCTAAGTTTATCACGCAGAGAAACTCCGAGCATAGCCCTCTCCATAGCTCGCTGAGCGACCTTGAGCTTCCTCATACGGCCAGCAGTGAAGGACCACGTCTCAGTTCCGTAAGTCATCACTGGCAACACGCACTGGTTGTACAATTTCGTTTTAAGGTTTTGAGGTATGTCTGACGAGAAGATGTGTCGTAGCTTCCCGAACGCTGCCCAGCCGAGTTGAATCCGTCGATTGACCTCTCGGTCGAAGTTGGACTTACCCAGTCGGACTATTTGTCCCAGGTAAACATACTCGTCAACAACTTCGAGCTTAGTGTTCCCAACAACTATCGGCATAGGTGTGACATGGACATTAAACATGATCTTAGTTTTGTCCATGTTCATCTTAAGACCTATCCGTTGGGAAACACTATTGAGGTCATTGAGCATAGTGCTTAGGTCCTCCAGCGATTCTGCCATAAGGACTATATCGTCGGCAAATCGAAGGTGAGTGATGTACTCGCCATTGATGTTGATACCGTATCCTTTCCAGTCCAGAAGCTTGAAAACGTCTTCCAATGCAGCGGTGAAGAGTTTCGGGGATATGACGTCACCCTGTCTTACACCTCTCTGCAATTGGATAGGTTTCGTACTCTGGTTCTGTACTCGGATAGCCATCGTAGCCCTACTGTACAAGCACTTCAACACTTCGATATACCGACAGTCAACTTGGCACCGCTGAAGGGACTGCAGCACCGCCCAAATTTCGACGGAATCAAAGGCTTTCTCATAGTCCACATACGCCAGACATAGTGGCAAATTGTACTCTTCGGACTTCTGTACAACTTGCCGAAGGGTATGTATGTGGTCTATGGTGCTAAAGCCCTTTCGGAAACCGGCTTGTTCGGGAGGCTGGAAGTCGTCAAGTTTGCGCGCGAGACGATTCGTAATGACTCTCGAAAACAGCACGTAGACGCGGCTCAGAAGGGAAATCGGTCTGTAGTTCTTCAAGAGAGCGTTGTCACCTTTCTTGAAGAACAAGACCACCGCACTTCTGCTCCACGCCTCCGGTGTAATGCCACCATGGAGGACGGAATTAAAGAGCTTCTGAAGGACTTCAAGTACCGGTCTTCCACCCGCTTTCAGAAGCTCCGCTGTAATTCCATCCTCGCCTGGGGCCTTACCGTTTTTTAAGGTGCTGGAGAGCCATTCTAATCTCGCTCAGACTGACGTCCGGGATATCTTCGGAATAGTGTCGGATGAGACTCGCTCTTGGATCGTTACTCACACTTGCGTGTGGCTCTAACGATGATGTGTACAGCTGCCAACAGAATACCAACGCAAAATTGCAACTGTACGCCGCAGTGTTTCGTATGGTGAGTATAGAGAACCGGGGACTCTTTTCACTGGAAATGAGGCATTCAGTCTTAGTCCTCACGGGTGACAACGCATCTGCATTTTGATTTTTAATAGAGCATAGATGTAGATGTCTATGGGCCACAGCAACCACTTACCATCAGGTGGGCTGTGTGCTCGTTTGTCACCCTGATCCTATAAAAAAAACGTAAAAAAAATTCGTACAATGATTTTTTATGATTTTCGATGTCATTTAAGTTAACAAGAAAGTTATGATGGGCTTCGATAAGTCTTTCACGATAAATTCCCATCTTGTGCCATTGCATACAAACGTTTTAATGAGTTTAAACGTGGTCGCACTAAGGAGAATATCACGATTCGACCAATTTTGACTCAATATTTACATGCGGCTTGCTCTACCTTCGCTCAGATGCGGTTCCTGAGTGAAGCGTTATCGTGTTATTTGACTTGATTATAAAACGCTTATATAACTACTCTTGTTATAATCACCTTGACTGCCTCTTTGGTCTAGTGGTCGTAAACGCATTTGTTAATATCATGAGGTCCCAGGTTTGAATCCTGGGTCGAGCCAAAATTAATTTTTGTTTTTCATTCTGTCAAGATATTCTCAGTGCCGTGCCGTGCACGTGAAGCCGTTGGTTCTGCACTTTAGCTCTTACCGGTGGTGTTAGATTGCAATCCCATCGGACTATAATAATCCTGTCCTGCGTTGATGGCTAGTCTCTGTTGAGACTGACTGCCGTGAACGTGTTACTTACTTTTTGTAACTTTGTTTTTAATATCTAATGGTAGAAGATTACAACAAATAATTTTAAACCTAATAGATATTTGTGATATAAATATTTTCGGAAAAGGAAAATACATAAAAAATCTCATCATTTATCCCATGGATGACATAACACTTAATCTCACAAGCGGTAATTTCATTCCATTACGATCTTTCGGTGATGGTAAGTGGTTTCTGTGGCCCATAGACATCAGAAACAGAAACTGCTGAGCTGCTTTTTACGCTGGTATTCTGTGACAGTATTACATTCCTTCCCCGTCCGAGCCGAGATTAATCAAGCGAATGTTTTTTCATAGTGTCTTTTATTGTAAAACATTTGGTTTTATGAAACATAATGGATTTTAAAGCACATGATCCTCATTTTGTGTAACTAAAAATATTATGTTATAAAGAAGATATACAAAATTCGTTTCGCTGCCGAGCACATGCCTCTTCTTAATTCGAAGATCTTTTCCGGATTAACTTTTATTTCTTAAATATGCATAATTATGTAGGTCGTCTCATGGTAATTAACAATTTCAAAATGTTGTAACTTTTATTTTAATTTCAGGAACAATTCTAGTGATGTAATAAATAAATCGCACAAATCGATCTCTGAATTATTGGCAGTTTGTGGGAAAGTTATAGCTTTTACTTTTTTATAAGGTAAATGAAAATATAATAAAATAACACTAAATGATCGAAGTTACTTCCGTTAAAAGGGCCTATTAAGGAAATTAGTTAAAGAAAATGTCGATAACAGATGATAATTAATCGTGTCGATCGGTAGGATACCACTAACGCTCACACCCAAAGACCGTAATAGAATGAAATTACCCCTTGTGCAAATAAGTGTAATGTTATCCGTGGGATTAATGATGAGATTTTTTATACTTTTTTCTTTTATCAAAATATTTTTTTACACAAATATCTATTAGGTTTAAAATTATTTGCTGAAATATTTTACCATTAGATATTAAAAACAAAGCAACAAAAAGTAAGAAACACGTTCACGGCAGTGCAGGCATAGGTGGTACTCTCTATTCTCTCACTCTCATAGTCCGAAGGGATTGATCCAGCACCACCGGAAAGAGATAAAGTGCAGACGAACGGCTTTACGTGCCCGGTGATGAAACATCGCCACCAACTTCATGACTCCGGGCTACTTACTGAGGATATCTTGACAGGAAAAAAAAAACAAAAATTAATTTTGGCTCGACCCAGGACTCAAACCTGGGACCTCATGATTAACAAATGCATTTACGACCACTAGACCAACGAGGCAGTTATGGTGATTATAATAAGGGTAGTAATAGTAGCGTTTTGTAATCAAGTCATGTAAAATAATAACACCTAATTCGGGAACCGCATCAGAGCGAAGCGACTCGTGATACTCGTATTCTTGTAGATTTTAGGGTATGGTAAAACTAGGAAGGACTGGGTGGCGGACCTTAACGGCTCAGTGGCCATCATTTCTTCGGCCGCCGCCGGTACCCCGACCCTTGAAGGTGTCAGGAGGGGTCAGGGGTGCGTAGCAGCACGGTTCGGGGAGTTCGTCGTTGTGGGGGTGTACTTCTCCCCGAACCGAGTACCGGGTGTACTTCTCGCCGAGCTCCACAACTCTCTTGCAGAGCTGAGAGCAGTCGTCGTCGGAAGCTATCCCCTCCCCGTGCTTGTCCTCGGGGACTTCAATGCCAAGAACTTGGCTTGGGGTTCTCGTCGTACAGATGTGCGGGGTAGGATGGAGGAAGACTGGGCTCTGGAGACAGGCCTGGTCGTCCTAAATCGGGGTTCTGTCCCCACGTGTGTGCGGATGCGGGGCGAGTCGGTGGTGGACATTTCGTTCGCTAGCCCCGCTCTGACGCCGCGTGCCATTGACTGGCGAGTCATGGAGGGGGTGGAGACCTACTCCGACCACCGGTACATCCGGTTTGACGTCTCCACCCAGCCCTCGAGCGCGCCAGTCCAACAGGCCCCGAGTGGTCCGCGTTGGGCGCTGAAGCAGCTGGACCGGGAGCTCCTCCTGGAAGCCTCGATCGTGCAGGCCTGGGTGTCATCACCGGATAGGCCTGCCGACATCAATGATGAGGCAGGGTGGTTCCAGGAGGCCATGTCCGAGATATGTGACGTGGCAATGCCCCGCCTCCGGCCAGGAAGCGCCCGGCGTCAGGTGTATTGGTGGTCGCGTGAGCTGACGTCTCTGCGCGAGGCGTGTGTCGCCACGCGGCACCTGTACGCCAGGCATGGCAGGCTCCGCATTCGTCCACCGAATGCGGCAGCCATTGAGGCGGAGCTGTACGAGGGATACAGAGCGGCAAAGACCGCCCTCCGGGAGGCTGTCATGCGGGCCCGGGATCGGGCCCGTGAGGAGATGCTGGAGACTCTCGACAGAGATCCGTGGGAGCGCCCTTACAAGATGGTGCGGGATAAACTCCGCACCTGGGCCCCCCCGCTGACGCAGAGTCTCCGGCCTCAGCTCGTGGAGGACGTGGTGAGCGCTCTGTTTCCTGCACGAGGGGAACATCCGCCCCCGCCTATGGCTCCGCCACCTGCGGTGCCGGAAGCGGACCACCAGGACGACGACGACGGCATCCCGGAAGGGACCGGGGTAGACCTGAGAGTGGCGGTACGTAGGCTCAAGGCCCGGAATACCGCCCCAGGACCCGATGGCTTGCCTGGCAAAGCCTGGGTCCTGGCCTCGGAGGCTCTCGGGCCCCGACTGGAGGGGCTCCTAAGCGCATGCTTGGAGAGAGGCCAATTCCCGCTTCGTTGGAAGACGGGGAAGATGGTCCTCATTCGGAAGCCGGGGCGCCCTGCGGACTCTCCGTCCGCATACCGGCCCGTGGTGCTGCTCGACGAGGTGGGCAAGCTCTTTGAAAGAGTCATTGCAAACCGCCTCGCCGAGCACCTTGCGGGGACGGGGCCGGATCTTGCGGAACACCAGTTTGGTTTCCGCAAGAGGCGCTCTACGGTGGACGCCATCATGCGCGTGAGAGCCCTCACGACGGGGGATGCAGTGGTCAGGGGGGGTTGTTTTGGCTGTGTCTCTCGACATCGCCAACGCCTTCAACTCCATGCCCTGGAGCTGCATTAGGGAGGCACTCCGGTATCACCGGGTGCCGACCTATCTCCGTCGTATAGTCGGGGACTATCTGACGGATAGGGCCGTCATCTACCCCGGTCGCAACGGTGAGTGGAACCGGCGAGAGATGTCGTGCGGTGTCCCACAAGGTTCGGTTCTGGGGCCGCCCCTGTGGAACATCGGTTACGACTGGGTGCTGCGCGCCGACCTCCCTACCGGCGTCAGCGTAGTTTGCTACGCTGACGACACGCTGGTACTGGCACAGGGGGGGTCGTACGAGGCGGCGGCGGAAACTATGACACGCGGGATTGCGATAGTCGTTGAGAGGATCCGGCAGCTGGGTCTTGAGGTGGCTCTGCACAAGTCCGAGGCCATGCACTTCCATGGTCCTCGGAACAGGCCACCACCGGGATCCTCAGCGATGGTAGGAGGGGTATCCATCGGCGTCGAGTCGACGTTGCAGTACCTAGGACTCGTCCTCGACGGCCGATGGAAATTCGTTGAGCACTTCCGACGTTGGCTCCCAAACTGGAACGGACCGGGGCTGCCTTCAGGCGGCTCCTGCCGAACCTGGGGGGGCCAAACGCCTCCTGCCGGAGGCTCTACGCGGGGATTGTGCGGTCCATGGCCCTTTACGGGGCCCCGGTGTGGGCGCGTGGTTTGGCGCGGCTTGCCGTCCACCACCTGAACGCGCCCCAAAAAGTGGTTGCCGTGAGAATGGTTCGTAGCTACCGCACGATCTCCCGCGAGGCAGCGTGCCTCCTTGCCGGATTGCCGCCATGGGATCTGTAGGCGATAGTCCTCACGCGCCTGCACGAATGGCGCGTGGAGGCACTATGCCGGGGGGAAACCCCGCTGCCGCGGCAAGTTGTCGTGCAGCGAACAGACTTCCGGCATGATCTCATGGCGACATGGAGAGCGCGACTGTCGCAACCCCGTGCTGGGCACGCCACTATAGCGGCGATAAGACCCCTTTTTGAGGAGTGGCTTGAGAGACGCCACGGCGTCCTCACCTTCCGCCTGACGCAGGTCCTCACCGGACACGGTGTATTCGGGAGGTTCCTGCACCGAATCGGGCGGGAGGAAACGCCCGGGTGCTCCCACTGCGAGGATCGACCGGAGGACACGGTGGAGCACACCGTGGAGGTGTGCCCTGCCTGGGCGGAGCACCGCCGTGTCCTCGTAGCGGCGATAGGCGGCGGCGACCTCTCGCGTCCGGCCCTGGTCGAAGCCATGGTCCGGAGCGAGACGGAATGGGATGCCGTCAACACCTTCTGCGAAGCAGTGATGCTAGCGAAGGAGGTGGCGGAGCGGGAGAAGGAGAGAGCAGCACCTTTCATTCCGGCCGCCGCGGGAGACGCCCCGGGCGTCGGGGGCTACATCGTGGCCCCCGGCCACCGTAGGCGCGGGCCTGTGGACGGCGAGCAATGGGTAGCTCGCCGTCCGTCCGTCTAACGACGACAGGCCGTGTCGACGGCGCGTTTTGTTCCACGCGCGCCTCAAAGAGCTGTCAGCAGCGTGAAGGGGCCCGCAAGGGCCGACGCCTGCCGGGGCTGCGGGCTGTTCGAAAGAGATACCGCGGCTCCGGAACGTAAGGGCACTGAAGGAACACGGATGGTTTTTAGTCAGTAAAAGTCTGACACTCCCTTCCGCTCCACCCAGAGCGAAAGGCGTCATTTGATGATTTTCCATCCGCAAAAAAAAAAGGGTATGGTGAAAAGTTACAAGTAATGTTTGGACATATAAATTGCGTACGACGTATTATAGTACAACAAGTTTTAAAAAAAAGGCGCTTGCTGTTGTCATTTTATTCGTGCCCGAAGATCGGTTAATGGACTGACTGGGATATAACATAAAAATGTTGTTTATTTTGGTCTTCCATAATCAACAAATCACTCAAGACCAAATAATATTTTGTAAAAATATTTTTATTTATTGTAGCGTTACCCTAACTCAGTAAATAATATTAAATAAACTGCCCATGTGTACAAATTATACGTAATATAGTTTTAAACAGCGGTAGAGCCACGCGGCAGCTTTTGCTGTCGCACGGATGGGCCGGCTCGAACCGGGGTGGTACCACGACCTCACAGAATACCAGCGTGAAGTAGAGATTTACCTCTGCGTTTCGTTTGGTGAGTGCAGGTGGCCGGAGGCCCTTTTTACTGGAAATGAGGCATTCCATCTTAGTCCTCACGGGTGACAACGCATCTACATTTTGATTCGCAAACGAGGATAGATGTAGATGTCTATGGGCCGCAGCAACCACTTACCATCAGCTGGACTGTGTGCTCGTTTGTCACCCTTATCCTATAAAAAAAAATATCTCTGTACGATATTCTACTGGGCTCGGCGACTTACCGCTACAATCTCCCTGCAACCAAGTATCCAGGGGCTGGCTTAAGGAGCTCGAGGCAGTCGATGCAATGATAGTTATATCAAAATTCAGCAGAGTGTATCGTACAAGTGTCCATAGGTCACAAGCACAACACTTCCAGGGTGAAAGAAATCTAGATAGATGAGCTTTAGTAACACGAAAGATATTCGTATGCGTCCGCGTCGGTAGTTTCAATTAGACTGTTCACAATTTTTACAATTATTGCAATTATTGCCGCCAATCGATATGGCGCTTGTGTCGCACAGAGAGCCCTTACCCGAAAGATTCTGCATTCAGAATGAAAACAGTTTCTCGCCAAACCAATGAAATTATTAGAAATATAGAAAAAAATAATGTTCTTAAAATTGTGTTGCCTTGTACTTATTACACTGAAGTAGAAACAAAAACTGTATATGTATAAACAATCTGTTCCAGTACAAAACAATCTTCATATATTTGGTTTTTGATCGAACACAATGCAACGAGCGGCGTCACACAATCAAAGCATATCGCTCTCAGTTCACTAATGACGTCGTTTTGTCCGAAGTCATACTATGCATCTGGGCTTTCCAAAACATTATCATTGCATTTTTATTGCCTTTTTATAATAAATTGTGTTTGAAACTCACAAATTTTTAAGGCTTTAAATGAATTAGTTTTGTACGTATAGGTTTTTTTTTTAGTCGATATAAAGCTTGGCAGGGGGTTTTGTGTTATTTATAAAAGCATTTTTGAAATCCTCACATTATGTTATGTTAGGGGAGCTTACACAATAGTATACTACACATCTATTATTATGAGAATTATAAAGTCTTACATTGAAATAAATGAATTAAGGAAAATTTGTAAAAGGGTATAATATAAATAAATAAATAATAAAATACTTTATTTCTTTAAGTTACAAATAAATACAAAATAGAGGATGAGTTCCCCTGGTAAAAATTGTATAGTACCTCCTAGTAGTAACTAAAGTAAGTAAAAGTTTATAAAAACCTGTATGTGGAGTCACTGCTCTTCCTTATTTACAAGAGTCTTAAATAGGAAAGAATTTAGTTACGTTGTTATTAATTTAAATTAGAACTTGTCTGTATTAGACATACAGTAATTTGATGTATTAACAGTGATTAGAGAAGGTAATGAATGTAAGTATAACTTCAACTCGGCTGGGAAGCGTTCGGGTCATTTTCTCGTTGGACGACCTGATACGTGGTCCTTCACTGCTGGCCGTATGAAGAAGCTGAAGGTCGCAATTCAGGAACATTCCTTCCTCGTGGGTTGCTGGTACCTCAAATTTTGGCCAGCTTGTTTCCACTTCAGTTTTAGATTTATTGGGCTTTCTCGTTTTCTTTAATTCTTCTGAGAATAACTAAGCAATAAATATGTCAGCGTGCTTAAATTCGTTAACAAGTATATTATCATAAAGTTTTTAAATAGAGTTAACTGTTAATTTTGTAACATACTAAATAAGTACAAGGGAACAAAGCAATAAATATCAAAACCATATTTGAAATTATTAGTGGTCATACTAAATGTAATATTATGGGTAATATAATGCGGCAGCGTCCCCTTGATATTTGGTCACACGTAAATCCACGCAGTGCTTGCTCTGTGGGAAAATAAAAGGACATTATATTCACGAAAACTTTAAAATAAGCACAATTACTGAAACTGTTTTAAAAGAAATTTGCCTAAAGTTTTTATTATCCGTTACTCCTTGTGTGTGTAGTCTAACGGCATATATATAGCAGTTGGTTATATTATTATTGATTGTTTTTCCAGCCTGAGGTTTTAATTATAAGATAAACATGCACACAGTCCACCTAATGGTAAGTGGTTGCCCATAGTGGATGTTGTGACACAAAGACTTCTATATCTATTCTCAATTAAGAATCAAAATACAGACGCGTTATCACCCGTGAAGAATAAGTTGGAATGCCTCTTATTCAGTAAAAAGGGTCTTCGGTTCTCTATACACATCATAAGTAACACAGCAGTGTTAAGCTGCTTTTGTATGCTGATATTATGTCAGAGCATGGTCCTTTACCGGTCAAGCCGACCCATTCGTGCTTCAACTATACAAATAATATAGCTGCAGCATGGCTCTACCACGTTTAGTAGAGTGGTATAGTAAAAACTATTATAAAACCAGGTGGCTTTATTATGTTACTTATTACCCTCGTCTTTAATGTTGATCTGTCCATAAAAACCCATATTTGGACAAAGGACTTTCCGTTATTTAGGTTTGCCTTAGCTACGCTTGGGATTCAGATTATCTATTGCAGCACCAGATGTGTCGCACCTTTAACGTTATACTGCTTTCTGTCATAGGCTATAAGACCGTTCTGCCATAACACATAGTCACGAAGTTAGTTACGAATCCAAGAGACAAAGTGAGATGACATATTCTCTTATGCTGTCATTAAAGTAATAACTATTATAATTCATATATGTTTTGCACAGCATGCATAACATTTTTATCAAAAACATTCGCGAGCGCATGCACAATAGTTCAACGAAGTTTCATCGTTATCGAATAAATGCTAAAAATATTCATATGAGGCAAGCAAACATTTATTTTTATATACAGCGTTCCCCAAAAATCAACGTTAAGCGGGAACCAGAGAGTGGACAAATA